GATACAATACACTAATAAGGGGACAATTGTTAACATTAAGATACAACGTATTCAATACAGTCGACTCCCGGCTATTACATTGTGTTATCCATTATTTTTCTCAAGAAATAAACTTACTGTTAATAATGAGACATCATACTTTCATTTGTATCAAAATCTGTATGATAAAGTACCAGTTCACTCTATGATTGTTAATTATAGTGTTAATAATGATCATAATAACAAAATACATGTTAAAGTAATTTCATATGATTTAAATGGCAAGCTATTGAATTTACGAAATCATTTTCCCGTTACATCAGTTAGGATTAGGAGTTTGGGTTTGTATATTATACGGTTATTAATGTGATTATTTATGTGTTGCATCAAAAATTATAGTTGCTGAGCCACAATTATGTAAGACCTATTTTAGTGACATGAATGGCGACTATTATGATAATATGACATTATTGGAGCCATATATCAAGTTTGAAATGGTCCTGACCAACAAATGGTTATCGCATATGCCGTTTAGTGTCTATATCCATTCGCCTAAAAGTCTGCCATTTTATAGTCAAAACTTTCAAATAAGTATGGGTGAGGACATGGATGTGGACTACTCGCAGTATCTGACAAAACTATTGCCATCACCCTTTGAAACTAATTGTCGCAACTACGACCTGGATCATTATAAAATGAATGATACAAATATGAATATACAACTCATGAGAACTGATTGCATTGCTAATTGTATCATAAGATTATTGAGACTAAAATGTCAAATGAAATGTATAGTACCTCCGAGTGCCTCCGAGATGATTAGCGCAAGGTATTTTCAAATACATGACCAGGACAAGTTGTGTAGTGATAGAGAAGTCGCATTTAACCGTAGTTGTATTATAAACAATTATATAATTTTGTTTATTCGTTGTCAACAGATATGTCCTAAAAATTGTCTGGATAGTCTTTATGATTTACAAATTAAATTTACCAATTATTAACAGTAAGTTTATTTCTTGAGAAAAATAATGGATAACACAATGTAATAGCCGGGAGTCGACTGTATTGAATACGTTGTATCTTAATGTTAACAATTGTCCCCTTATTAGTGTATTGTATCATTAATTCAATCATTTGATATATAAAACCCAATAAACATACCAGAACAAATAACTTTCTAATAAATTCCTTATTAAATTCAGGTTTAATATGATTTACATTAATGTTTCGAATTTTAAATTGATTGAAAAATAAATTTATTGATTTAGCTGGTTTCTTTCTTATGTTAATGTAAATCATGATAACTTTTATATTTTACGTGAATTTTTAAAAGTCACTTTATATGTAAAATAAAAACATAATTTAAAAATATTGTACTTTATAGTACAGTATATATAGTAAAATATAGTTATTATGAAATGATTTTTAAAATGGATTTCTCTAACATTAATTTCTTAAAAAACATAAAATTGTTTATCAAATATGTATTATGCTTATTATTAAAAACTTGTTTAACTAATTTATATTTTATCTATTACAATAAAATCGCATTTAAAGTGCATTTATATTACAATATTAATAAAATCATTAAATTTGTTTTTATAATAATCTATTTTTCTATGTTTAATCTATTTATAAAACATTTTAAGAAAACCTTGTACAGAATTAAATTAAATTAAATTAATAATAGATTCACGAATGAGAAGTACAAACACTCAAACCACAGCCGATAGCCCTCCCTTTCCAGATATTAATCATATGAATGACATTTCGGGAATGTGCTTGATCATATGATCTGGTCTCTTGCTATGCCTTATCCTTAAAATATAGTTAGATAATTAAGTTTGCATTAAACGTAATTCTTAAATCATAAAGTTTATCTATGTATAATGACCCAGGTCATAGTATCGACAACAGGTTTGCCAAATAATGCGAGTATTCAACGGTTGACATAAACTTATTTAAAAACTTATTTCAACCTCCATGGCCTTATCCAAGCTTATGGAAAAGTTTTGACTAAAAAATGCCAGATTTTTAGGGAAGTTTTTATATTCACTTTGCAAATAATTAATCCAGCATGTCTACCCTTTGTTAAAAAGCAATCCAAATTTTCCGCCAACTTAATAAACACTCTTATAATTTATTTGCTAAATTATATTTATTACTGATAAACACTTAGTATGTAATATGATATTACTATTATTAACATCATTATTTATATACTCATTAATATGATCTTTGAATAATCAAGTTGTTTTATATGGTCCTTATACATATAAATAAATCTTAATGAGAAACGTATAATAATTAGTTTATTATTTTAGAATATTCAAAAATTGTTAGTCATTTTACTACTAATCTTTTGTAAAATAATTTTTGATAAAAATATATTCATCACTTAATTTGGAAAAGTATACAAAATTTAAATGAATATTTTCAAAACATTCACACAAAATACTTTTGATTAATACAAATATGACTCAAATTATGAATAAATTCTATAAATAAATCATAGTTTCAATAAATGCATTACTAATACTTAATTTGAATTATATTTATTCTGTATTTTTTCAAATTAATCGATGAATATGTTTTTATCAAAAATTATTTTAAAAGAGATAAAAATGACTATCAATTTTGAATAACCCTGCTACATTCATAAGTACATACACGACTTGCACAGACTTAAAAAGACTGAAAAATTCAGTTCCTAGTACTAGTATTTCACAAATTATTAAGTTTTTAATTTATAGACAATATTGGTACTAAAAAACTATTCAGATATTTGTTTATACGAGTACCCAGATAAGATTTAGCCCCACCACCTATACATGTGCTTACTCTTGACAACAGTGAACAACACTGTGTTTACCGAATATTTGTTGTAGTTTTTGATGAATAAGTAATAATTATTTGTATATTTGTTGAGCCATTACTCGGCAATAAAAGTACACTAAACTACGTTCGAGTGATAACTATATTCACTTATTATGGGAATTGCATTTCAGGTTTAATACGAAATAACATCGACTGATAACTTATACATTAGGAAAGGGTTTATGAAATAACTACTGAATGACAACGCTTTATATTTAAATAATATAATAATTATATCCAATAAATTCTGCATATCTTAACGTAGATTTTTAATAAGTATATCAAATTAAGAATATGATAAATACCAGTAATGAATTACAGAATCTACTTTAAAACGATTTATAAATTCATACCCTGCTAACCCCACGTATAACGCATAAACTGATTATATAATAAATCTAACAATCTAAAGGGTAATATTTCTGTTACTGTGATTGCATTGAATGATAAGTGCTTTCCTCTGTATAAAAGTCGTATTGCAATCATACAACTACTCATTATTACCTAAAAACGCATTAACATTATTTAAACAGTAATTAAATTACAATTAAAACAATGAGATCCGTATTATTGTCGTGTTTAGTGGTATTGTGCGGCGTGTATGCCATTAGGTGTGCGACCATTAACTTTCAGGCCTGGCGTACATCACAGGTGTACAAGAATTTTGACCTCCAATGCACCTATACTTTGGTCCAAAAATCTGAATTCTTCTCGAGTCTCAGTATAATCGTAAACAACACCATATTCTACACCTATAACAACCAAACCGTCCGAAGTATGTATCAATTATACCTGGATAATTGTATAAATATATTACCTTGTTTACAATGTTTGTTATCAAATATTTATACATTTTTTATAAATCCAAAAATACTAACTCATTAAAAACTAAATATACTATATTTACCTTTTCTAGCAATATTAAGGGTTAATAATTAAAAGTTGCTAGGGCTTAACTTTCAGGAAGTTAGCATTGTGTGTATTTAATTATCAACAAGTGTTAGACTTTATATAAATTATATTTATAAATTAATTTATGACAAATGTAAAAACACTTGGTAAAGATTTATTGACATATTTTTGTGTAAAAATATTTTCGTAATTTATTTCGTAACTCTGAAATCAATATTAACTGAATTTATTTATATACACCAGATCCGACTTTCTACAAAATCAAGGGCATTGATTCAATTGTGAAAAAATCACCAGGCTACATAGCCATCAATAATGCCAACAAGACTACCTCCGGTCTATACAGGTGTCAAGTGAACTACAGCTCCGGCAGAAGTATTGTCTCACAACAGTATAACATAACTATTCCCAAATAATCTGTAAAACTATTTGTTAATAAAGTTAATTCTAGTCAAACAGTTTATTATGTATTTGAAAATCACAAATTAATTGAATAAAAACATATCAAACAAACTCATTATTTTTATTGATAATTCCCAAATAATCTGTAAAACTATTTGTTAATAAAGTTAATTCTAGTCAAACAGTTTATTATGTATTTGAAAATCACAAATTAATTGAATAAAAACATATCAAACAAACTCATTATTTTTATTGATTTCAATTGCAAGAATATGTAATTTACATTTGTTGTAAACATATTTTGCATTCAGAATATTCTTATCATTAAAATAACAATAATAGTACAATAGCTAGTCATACGTGTTAGTGTATAATAATAATTTAGGTAATATAAATAAAATATTGAAATTTTGAAATACTTAAGATGAAATAAATAAGATTTTAGACATAAATAAATTATAAACCTCGATCAATGATGTTTTCAGTAAAAACAACGGTAATTATAGGTTACCATTCAAAACATACACTTTCGACATCAAATATTTGCGCAATTATAATATTAGTATTTACATATAAAACATATTTTAATATAAAACATATGTTAGGCTTACTGTACATAATAACTAACAATTTAATCAATAATTTTAGTTAACATATAATTTAACATTTTAAGTAAATCAATAATCTTTTTACAATTAATATTTAAAAATGTTTTTTTTTATAAAATATAATACCTAGTAATATATATTTTTTAGTATAATTAAATAATCATGATATCATAACCGCATACATAATAATTGATGTCTATTGATAGTTGCCACCTGTATCACAATTTTAATTTTTTATAATGCCCTTGGTGCTGGATATTGTCAATTACATTAAGGATATAACCAATTGATCGTCAAATCAATGTTTTTTATATGCAATTATTTAGTAATTATATCCATATAATCATCCACGTCCATTCAAACAGTACATACAGCCTTGAATTTATACGCATACGTATAACACACAGAAATCTCATGTAAAAAAGTCTTTCGTATATTATATTTATTTATTGACAATATCTAAGAGTTATAGTCAAGGAAACACTAAAAATATTTACATAGATCAAATACTTTTCGTGTAATTAGTTATTAAATTCTTAATATATTCTAAACAATGACTACCGGTGCAAATGACAAATTATGTGTTGTTTGTGGAGATAAGGGAATCGGTAATTATTATAAAAAAAATATTTTTATTAATAATTTTAAAATAACATATTTTGATACTAGGTTTTAACTTCGATGCCCTCACATGTGAATCGTGTAAATGCTTTTTCAGAAGAAATGCTATGAGAGTAAGAAAATTATAAACTATTTCAATAAAACAAATACTAATATTTTATTGATCGCCTGTAGGAGGACCTGGAGTGCAAAGTTGGTGATAATAATTGTAATATTTTGATGACTACAAGGAAAAACTGTCCAAGGTGTAGACTCGATAAATGTTTGAGTAAAGGAATGAAAAGGGTATGTATTTTTAGTATTTATTGTCATAATAAATAGAAATAGATTCTATAACTTTATTCAGACCTTGATGCAATGTAACAATTGACATCTGTCAATTTGAACAACATAAAATTGTATGATAATTAAGACAAACTTTAAATTAGTCAGTGGCAAATAAAATAAAGCTTAAATATGGTAATTTATAAATCTAAAATCATATTTAACTAAAATATGGAAATAGTAAAATATATTTATTATTTACGTAAATTCTAGTTAATAATTATATTAACATTGAATATTAAATATGCTATTTAATAACATTGAATTTAAAAACATACTTTCATTAAGTCCACATTTAGAGCAAATTTTTATCAATTATTTTTATCTATATTTTTTGGTACATATTGAAGACTCTGTACTGTTATTATATTGTTGGTAATTGTACCTGATTTTGTGTTTGATAGCAATAAAATAAACTCTAAATTAAATTATCAATAATAAATTATATTGCTAAACACCATAAAATTAATCAAACAAACTAAATATCGTAATTAAAATTTTTTTAATATTTAACTGTATTAGAAATCTTATAAATTAATGTCCATGTTAATAAGTTAAAAAATACTGCTTTCTAATAACTAATTAATTTTAATAAAAAATGTCTTAATATGACAGGAGATGATAATGAATGCGGAGGAGAGGTCTAAGAGGCGATTAATCATAGAATGCAATCGACTTAAGCGAAAAAAGTTGTCTAATATTAAACAGCTTAAGAAAACTCCTACACCTCATTACTACATGGACTCAGCATCCAATTCCTCATCAGATAATCAGCACAACATTGTCACATCTACGTGCGCCACCTCCAGCACTTCTATATCAATCGATAATGTATATAATAACATCTTGGACATTTCCTTCAAATCAAATGATAACTGCAATGAGAAACTATATGAGAGGGCATTCACGCTGGGAATGGATGTCATGTCCATCGCCCGACCCATCACTGACTACAACACAACATTCAATGAGTTAGAGGGCTATAAGTTTACGGAACTCATTAGTGCCGCAAATATTATGACCGCAAATGTGTCCACAAATATCAACACATCCTATGTCTATACATTTGAGGACTTTTTGCGTGTCATTGATGTCCGACGCGAGTATGACATCAAAAATGTGGTCAAAGTGTTTGAGCGGTTGATGTGTGCCAGTGAGATATGTGAGCAGGATAAAGTTATTTTGCTTAAATACGGAGCGCTAGAAGTACATTGTATGCGGAGTATTACATACTATGATTACGACACTCAAAGCTGGACAGCAAACCTGGTAGGTTTAACTCAATTGTGCTACAGAATTGTAGTTTATGGTGCCCATAGATATGACATAAACATTTACCTTGTTCATTTGTATTTAATATATAATTCTTTAATTTAATTACAAAAGGATGACAAGAATGCATTGGTTTTGAGTATGGATTTTGTCCGTCAGACTGAACCCAATAATGAAACTCATATACTATTCCGAGATTATGTCAATACTATGTATACAGAAATCGACTCCGATATTAACGTCTTAAATATTGTAAGAAATTAAAGCAAACAAATTTTATATTACTTAATAACTTATTACATTTAATTCATTTAACAGATGACGGCTATAGTCCTTTTCAATCCCTACCGACCGGGACTTAAATACAAGGAAATTGTAAAGTAAGCGTTTAATTAGATCTCAATTTTTAAATAATTTTATTTATAATAATATTATTAATTAATAATTATATTATAATAAAAGTGGTATTTCTATATTTGCGTTAATAGATTACAGCAACACATTTACATGCATTTACTCAAACGTTATTTACTAATCAAATATCAGAGCAAATTGACTGCCAATGAGAAATTTGGGCGATTATTGAACACATTAATTGATTTATATTACGTCGATATGAAGACTAAACAAAACTTACTTAACATATCAAATCATATATACCCACCACTGCTCCGGGAGTTACTAAATGAATAATAATAATAGAAAATGTCCATTTGTGAAATATTCTCATACTAGCACTTATTGAAAATATTTTTATTCTAGTAGCTTATTTATTTCATTTACAAATAGTATAAAAATTATTATTTGCTATTTATTTACCAATTTTCTAATACTTTTAATTGCAAATAATTATTTATGTATTTTCTAAACATTTCTATCAGTATTTTCTAAAATCAATGTCAAAAACTATATTACTCATTGTGTAAGTCATGTCGTTTGTAAAATAAATTCTAAAATGTAAATATTTTTTATTATATCTATTATAAATTCATTGTATTACAATCTAATTGACAATAATGATTATTAATTAGATATGAAAATATAAAATAATATAAAATTTTATTTAACTTAAAAGAATAAAATATTAATCCAAGGATTTCCTCATATTATTTAAGGAAAAACTCTACAAAATATTTGATTGTTAAGTAAATTATAATGCATGCCTACACTAACTAGCTCAATTTACTACTGAATAATAATACTGTACAGTACTAGTAATAATAATAATAATTTTATTTCTAATTTAAGAACTTGTTTAACATGATACAGTTTTGGTCATAAAAAGCAAATTACAATCACATTAACATGACAATGATCTTACTTTAAGATGAATTTCAAAATTAAACTTTTCATGTATAATGTTACTATGTAATAGACATATAATTAATGATTTACAACAAAATACTAGTAATTTATGTTGTAGGAAAATATGATAAAATATTTTGTTTCAAATCTAATTCTTAAGTAAATTATTATAAATTAGTTTGTCATTTTATTAAAACCATTATTTTTAGGCTTTTACTGTGAAAATGATTTATGAAGAATCTTAATAGTTTTACATAATAAATTATAATAATAATAAAACAATCCCTTTCCAGAAATCAATAAAAAATGAACTCTAAATTAAAAAATTTTCAAATATTTTGCGTCATGTTTTACTAAACAATTTTACAATCATTACAATATATACGGTATAATACGATACCTAGTCAATTATATTAATGATACGAAAACATGCCTATCTATGCAACAACACTCAACTGTAAAATACATGTGCAAATTATATATACAGTAATACAGTGTAATATAATTATAATGGACGCACTCGTAGTAGGGTAAAAGTGTTTTGCTACATAGAAAACATGTAGTTCCCATCAACGTTATCAAATTGATTGGTGTTGTCATTGAAACACAAGAGTCTCGATATTTTGAAAATAATTTTTTATCAAAACTACTAATAATTTATTTTTTTAAAACTCGCATGTAAAAAATAAACTCATTTGTTTGCAAATAAAATACACTATTTATAAACCTGGTGAATGGAAGTCAATACACATGCGAGACTGTGTGTGGTTTGTAATGATAAAGGAATCGGTAAAATGATTTTATTTTTATAACAATTTATTTGATTTTATTACAATTAATCTCAAATCTCCCAAAAAATATCTTAGGCTTTAATTTCGATGCCTTGACGTGTGAATCGTGTAAATGCTTTTTCAGGAGAAATGCTATGAGAGTAAAAAACTATAAATTATGATTGCTCATTTAAATAGTGATATAATTATATATTTTCTGGTGATCACCTGTAGGTGGACCTGGAGTGCAAATCGGGTACTAATGAGTGTATTATATTAATTAAGACGAGGAAAAATTGTGCCAAATGTAGACTTAATAAGTGTTTGGCTCAGGGAATGAAAAGGGTATGTATTTTTACATTTATCATTTATTTATAATAATAGAATTATAAATATTTTTGAGACCTTGATACCCATAAATACTATCATGTGTATATGCTATTTCTATTAAAATAAAAATCTGTGCACTTGGATTTTAAGAAGTCATCAAACAATATTAACTCTTAAATTAATATATGCCTAAAAATATTGTTGCTTTATTTAAATGTCTTAATATTAGTGGTAAACATTTGTAAATTTCTATATACTGTACTGTAAACCTATCTGTAATATGAAATTATTACATTTATTCCACATTGTTAGCATGTTTATCAACTATTTTTATCAATAATATAATTAACTAGGAATATATTTTGACTAATTGATCAGACATATTTTTCTTTATATTTAGAATAAAGTGTTTCCTAATTATGACAGTACTGTACAGCTATTTCAAAACATTCTCAAACAAATTAATTTATCTAGATCAATAAAACCTTACAAAAATATAAATACTGTATATCAAACGTGACGGTAATTACAATTTATAAATAATAATTAATAATAATTTCAATGATTAGTTAATAATTATTATATAAATACTTAACCTTTAAGGAGATGATAATGAATGCCGAGGCCAGGCATAGGAGGCGGTCCATCATTGAATGCAATCGACTTAAACGCAAAAACTTGGCAAACACTCACAAAATTAAGGAGATCCCTGCACCTCCTATCATCTGTACTGAATCTTCGGACTCATCATCCCTTTCCTCATCAGACAATCACAACATTTTAGTCTCCTCTACGAGCAGCACCTGTACTTCAATTTGTGTCGACAAGATTTGTGATAATAATCTCGTCAACACTTCCATGACTTCAACGCACGACTCAAATGAGAAACTATATGAGAGGGCATTCACGCTGGGAATGGATGTCTTGTCCATCGCCCGACCCATCACTGACTACAACACAACATTCAATGAATTAGAGGGCAATAGGTTTACGGAACTGATTAGTGCCGCAAATATAATGATCCCGAAGTTGTCCACAAATATCAACAAAACTTATGTTTCGACAGTTGAAGGCTTTTTGCGTGTCATTGATATCCAGCGCGAGTCTGACGTCAAAAATGTGGTCAAAGTGTTTAAGCGGTTAATGTGTGCCACTGAGATATGTGAGCAGGATAAAGTTATTTTACTGAAATACGGTGCATCAGAGGTGCACTGTATGCGCTGTATTACATATTATGATTACGATAATCAACGTTGGACAAATTACTTGGTATGCTACAGTAATTTATTAAACTAGCAACCTTTTAAAAAATAATATTTTTTGTATAACCATTGATAGGATGATAATAATGCCGTGATTTTGAGTATGGATTTTGTGCGACAGATTGAACCGGACAATGAAACTCATGTCATATTTCAAGATTATGTCAATAAATTGTATAATGACATCGACTCCGATATCAACGTCTTAAATATAGTATGAAATAAAAATATAAATTTTACTCATAATAAACTCAAATGAAAAATTATATTTAAATTCATTTAACAGATGACGGCTATAGTACTGTTCAATCCCTATCGACCGGGACTTAAGTACTCAGAGATTGTAAAGTAAGCCCTGAATGGCATCTAAACTAATTGTAGTAACTTTTAATGACTTTTAATGACTTTTAATATCATTTCCAACACTAGACTACAGCAACACATTTACATGCATTTACTCAAACGTTATTTACTAATCAAATATCAGAGCAAATGGGATGCAAATGAGAAATTCATGAAATTATTAAACTCTTTAATTGATTTATATTACGTCGATATGAAGACTAAACAAAACTTACTTAACATATCAAATCATATATACCCACCATTGCTCCTGGAGGTATTGGATGCATCATAATCATCAATATAATTTTACAATAATACTATAATTAGGATATAAATTAAAACAATCTTATTTTAGAATTGTTTAGTATTTTTAACTTTCATTCATTAAAATGTAAAGTATTTTAATTTTACAGTTATGTTATTTTATCTTATTAAGATAAGTTTTATTTAAATATCATATATTATTTTGTACTTAAAAAAGTATTATAACTATATCTTTAATAAATATAATATAATCAAACAAATAAATGATAATGAAATTCATAATTATTGATATATTATTTATGATTATTATATAAAATATTTCTGATTCAATATAAGTAATATTTAATATTTATTAAATAAAATATAAATTTTTACTTAATATTCTTTATAAGCAACATTAAAACAAATAAATATTTATTTTAAAAGTCGTTATATTAATGATTTGTCAGCAAATATCAAAGGACCAAATAAATAATATTACTATAAACAACTTTGTACACAATACATTTTTAATCTAAATATTATGCTATAGAATATACTGGGACAATTATTTACAAATATTTGCAATAGATGCAGGTAAATATGCTTCATATAATTCTTGCTCAAATATCCATATTACTGAATCACATCATTTACAGTTCATTTTTAACGCACAATTTTACTTTTAGATAATATTACTTATTTACAAGTCTTTGGGTACAGTTTATCATATAAACTTTAGATTACACTATAATTGATTAATATAACAATACCTGTAACTACTTTATTTAAATTTAATAAATGTAATATAAAGTTTTCAATTGAGTTTATACTGAATTTCGCGGTCATATTAAGTTCTGATAACTAAATTATTGTATTAAAATATATGAAAAATACAATAATAAAGTACAGGTATATTATAATTTACTTATTTGCACATTAATTTTAAGTGCATTGTGCACTGTTTTAAAAGAGAATTTGCAAGGTCATTTGGGTATAGATTCTATACACTATAGAATAGATAAGTTCTGTACTTGCATATTTTACACTCTACATTTAGTTTATGCTTATTCTTTAAGTTTTCTAGTTTTAAATGTGACTGATCAAATTGAAATTCATCAACTAAACACTTATCAATACAGATGTGGTGATAAAATGTGTTAATACTATAGTTTGTCCTCAATAATACAAAAAAGCATTTGCACTACAGTAGGATGCAATACATTATGAACTATACATTTATCTAAGGAATAATACATTATATGCTAATTATTGCTACAAAGGCTGTATGAATATAATATTTATATTATTTAGTTCAAAGTCTACAAAATACAATTTACATTTATTTCCTACTTAAATGAATATCTTATAACAAAATTATGCTAAAATGTACACCATTTTTATCATTTTAATTGTTTTCTCCAATTAATTTATACTATTGTACATTCATTATAGATTAACACTAAAGTCCTTGCTTTTATAAAACACGAATTTATGAAACATCTATATTAAATAAATTTTATTATACAAGTGATAATAGATTATTGATTACGTTTAATAAACTACAAACAAGGTTTAGAAAAATTTTGTCAGAATTACGATTTCATATATCTGATGTTCACAGTGTGTAGCTATTATTTAAATCATAAATACATTTAATTGTAATTAATGTATTTATAAAATATATAAATTATCTATTAAAAGTTAAATATATATTTTTAAAAAGTTTCTTATTATTGTTAATTGTTTACTAATTTTTTTTAAAAAACTTTTATAATATACTTCTTATTCAGGTTTAGACAATTTTATAACAAGCCATGAATTGAAATGTTGCCATAGAAATGTGAACGAATGGTAGTTATTTTTATGTATAAATGAATATTACTTCATAAAACTTATGGATTTCATAGGTTTCCACCTCTGGGTACATTTTACGATTAAGAATTTGTTGCAAAAAATTATAAATTTAATAAATAAAAAGTAAAAGTAAATATAATGCCTAAAAATACATTAATGAAAGCGTGTATAATATGTGGCGATAAGGCAACGGGTATGGGTGTAAACACTTAATTTAATACATAATTTTAATTAATTTTTCTCATTTAGGCTATAATTTTAATGCACCCACATGCGAGTCATGCAAAGCATTTTTCAGGAGAAATGCGCTCAAGGTATGTTTAATTTATATACTGAATTTAAAATTATTCTGGTTAATTCACATAATAATAAACAATAAATAATTTTATGGCTAACTTAGAAATATTTCCAAACCAAACTATTAAAACTAATATACATTTAACAGG